CAAGACTAGCGCCCGTTTCCTCCAAGGCTATCGCCCGTTTCCTTCAGAGACCCATTGAGGAAGTCAAGCAGGCATGGAAGGTCTACCAGCGACTTGAGGCTCGCGGTTAGATGACTTTGCAATATTGGAGCCGTCAAAATTATTTTCGACTGGTGACCTTGTAGTTGTCTTGCCTTGTTTTGCGGACATGAGTGTTCAAATCACGCTGGAGCAAAATGTGCAGACATTCATAACTTGGACCCATGGAGCGCAGCCGACGTGGTTACAGTATCACGGACCAAACTACCCGGCCGGTACAGTGCTTGACAGACCATTTCGATTGACGGCACCACCTCCACCTCCGCCACCACCACCGCCACCGATGATGCTTCATCCACAGTTCATGCCCTCATTGCGAACTTCCTCTACCCCTTCTCCCCGAGGACAGTCATGCCCGGCTACTATGGTCTCTGAGCGCACACGCCGCTCAGTTTGCAGAGCTGACCAATCTCGCGCTGACGATCACCGCAGTCTCACGTGTTCCCCGAAACGCACTCGAACAACGTCAATCTCTGATGAGCGCTCGGCGGCCCTTCACTGTGTTCACTTCGAAAAGGGCTACTCGTGCAACACGGTCCAGAACCACAAGATGCAAGCATTACTGCCACGCCTTCCTACATCATGGACGGAAATGTCTTTTCCCCTGTGTGCGACGTCAACCAGGACATTTCATTTCCATTGCAGATGCGCGCGTCACCAGCGGCGGTGAATCATTGCCGCAGTACACTGCAGACTTTGCTGATTCGTCCAGTCTTCAGTTTGAAAAGTTGTTATGCATTGCATTGCTTGCTGATTGTGCATGGCGTACATGTTGGTCATGGCATGATTGTTACACCGCAGATTCCTTGGCTTCATTTGCCCTTGCAATTGTGACATAGCGACTCATTCGGTTGTCATGTTGCCACGCTACTTTGAGTACCACATTGAGCGAGGCGTGGAATGGATTCGGGTTTACACACCGGGCATGTGGCAGCCAGTGGATGAATCCACCTTGGGCCCAACTCCGGACCGCGCTTCCACGTATCGTGAATGGCGCAGGGTCTACCACTTTGACGTGTACTTGCCCCGTGACAGCACTGGAGGCACCACTGCGGACCCGAATGTTACGCCCGTCTCCTACGCGTCTTACATATGGCAATTCCGGGATTGGCACACGCGTGGTTATCAACGACTTGGTGTCCCGCGTCCATACATTGGATCGACAGATTTCGTGTCTGATGGAGTTTCGTCCTCGTCGGCGTCTTCAGTTCCGGATGGCGCGTGGCGTGAACCTTCTCCCCCGCCGAGCTATGATCCCAATTTTGATTGGAACGAGTCTGATTGATGCTTGGACGGAATGTTGGTCAAAACATTGCGCTTGTTGAGTCTTCCAGCTTGAGTGCTTTGCTTACGACCTTTTGATTGATTGCTTCCATTCATGTCAATGCTGCTGGAAACATGCCCTGACACTGAGCCTACTGCGTGCCAACATGGTCCGATTCGCTTGCTGCTTGGTCTTGGGTTGCCTTGTCTTGTGTTGTGCTATCTCCATGTCCATGCTTTCGCAGACTCCTTTTGTCTCATATAGGCCGATTCGGCGATTATGTTCAATTCGACAATATTTGGCACTGACAGATGGTCCGTCCCGCGCTACTTTGAGTATGACATCGTGAATGCCCTGCAAACACAAGAGTTGAATGGATTCGAGTTTATGTACCAGGTCCGTGGCATCCTGTCGCTGATTCCACGTTGGGACCAGCTCCGGATAGCACATCAACCTATTGGGAATGGCGCAGGTTCTACCACTTCGAAGTGTGTTGGTCGTGACAGCACGGGAGGCACAACTCTGGATTCTTTCTCCCAGCCGGTCTCCTATGCATCCTTTTATACATGGCAATATCGTGACTGGCACACCAGAGGATACCAAAGACTCGGCAATCCGCACCCGAACATTGCGCGGCCAGTTTTCCCTTCGAGATCGCCTGACCTCATGCACGCTGGATTGTCTTCTTCGTCAACATCCTTGATCTCAGATGGTGGTTGACGACCCTCCTCACCTCCCTATGATCTTGAATTTGATTGGAGTGAGCGGCATCGACACCTGAGTCGCGTCTGGCTACAAACCGCCGCGGTCGGTGCTGCGTGCGCTGCGAGTGCTGGATTGATTGTTTTGCGGTTGACTGGCATGTTTGGTGACACATGGCATGAAGGGTTCGTTGCCTGCAGCCGTGTTCTTCTCGGTTGTGCATCTAGGTTTTGAGTTGTCATGCCGTGGCTGGAGTGGTGCCCGGATCCTCAACAACCAGGTGCTCAATGGGTCAAGATTTTTCATCCGGGATCCTGGACACCACAAGATGAACGCGATGATCCGCCTCCGCGCCACACATACAGAGAGTGGAAGGAGTTCCATGCCCCAAACCTGGCTCATGACGAAGACCAGCCCACCAGACGCACTTGGTACAAGAGGGACTGGACCACGGAG